CAAATTAAACAAGCCCAGTTCATGAAGCCTGGCTTCATAGGTCATGTTCTCTAGACCTTTAGTCATTCTTGTCGCTCTTCTCTGTACCCTTTCCAATTTCTCCACATCTTTCTTGAAATGTGGCGCCTAGAACTGGACACAGTACTCCAGCTGAGGCCTAACTAGTGCAGAGTAGAGTGGCAGAATGACTTCACGAGTTTTGCTTACAACACACCTGTTGATACAACCTAGAATCATATTTGCTTTTTTTGCAACAGCATCACACTGTTGACTCATATTCAACATGTTAATGGCTATACTTAACATCCCAATAAACAGTCATTATCTGTCATCTACACATGCACATCTCACACATGTCCATTCACAGACAGCCTCTTAGCATTTCTGAGGCTACGTCTAGACTCCACCCTTCTATTGGCAGAGGGATGGAAATTAGACATTTCGAAAGTGCAAATGAAGCAGGGATTTAAATATCCCACACTTCATTTGCATAATTTTGTAATGGCGTTCTTTCAAACAAGTGCCATTTCGAAAGTAAAACCATGGTCTAGACATGGTTCTTTTGAAAACAGGGTGCTTTTTCAAAAGCTATACAAGATCTTTCGAAAAAGTGCCCCGTTTTCGAAAGAACTGGGTCTAGACCGCAGGTTTACTTTCAAAATGGCACTTTTCGAAAGAGCACCATTACACAATTATGCAAATGAATCACGGGCTATTTAAATCCCCACTTCATTTGCACTTTCGAAATATCTAATTTACATCCCTCTGCTGACAGAGGGGTGGAGTCGAGACGTAGCCTAACAAGAGAAATTACATCTTTCCTGAAACCATCACTTCATCCTTCTCCTGACAAGGAGCTGGGAACTAACTCATTGGGGCTTAGCTAGTTAAAGGGTCACATTTTACTCTGAGTAACTTCTTACCTATAGTCGAAGGCTGCTTCTGGTCTTGTTCATGTAAATCTCATTTAAGATAAAGAAAATGGAAAGTTTATACATCTCAAGCCCTACTCACAAAGGCCTAATCCCCTCATGGATGCCTCCTCACATGTCTCCGTCTCTCCCCCTCCGCTTCCCCCCCCCCACTAATTACATGCATATGGGAAGGGTTTGCCCCCCTTCCGCTCCCCCCTCCCCCCACTAATTACATGCATATGGGAAGGGTTTGCTAGGATATTTATATATTTTTCTCCTGGCTGGATCTTTTACAGCAATCATCTATTCATATCTGCTGAGAAATGTAGACTCATTCTCATGGAGTATTCAAGAAAACCCATTAAATGCTCCAAGAGTTCGGGATCCCACCTATGAATTGTGCATAAATTATTAGAGTGCTGGGATATTGTAGATGGAAGAAAAAGGATCTAGTTTGTAAAAACTAGATTTACAAATTCCGCAGCAAATAACATGCAAAGTCAAGATTCTTTTGTCCTTTACAACCGTTTTAGAAATTGTATGAGGCCAGCCTTTCTCTTATTATATTTTACTGATATACATTCCTTCCTCAGCTCCAGCAACATGGCTTACAAAGGAGATAACGGTATTTAGTTTTATGCATAGTCACAAGTAGCTGGAAGCTTTGGGCCTGATTTTCTTCTCTCATGTCGTGGAATAAATGAAAAGTTGCTCCACTGAAAGCCACAGAGCCAGATTCTCAGTCAGTGCAAATTAATGTTGCTCCATTGAAGGCACCTGGGCTCTGCTGAATTACCTAGCTGAGTATCTGTCCCAACTGTGGTGTAAGTGAACAAATAAGTTATATGTATCTGTCATTGTCTTTTGGGGTGGGCAGGTCCTTAGCAATGAAGTATCAGGAAAAGTGGCAAAACAGGAAGAGATTGATTATAGGTAGCTTCTTTTGAAAAGATTCTTTTGTTGCACTACCATGTGAGCTGCTTTATAAATGGCTGGCCAGGTATGCCCTAATGCAAATGATCCTAGCCAGGGTGCCATTCAAACAGAAGGTGTGAGTGCAGAAAGAAGCCAGCAAGACTGTCTAGCATATGTGCCTTCATTGTAGGTGTTGCTGGCAGAAATACTAGTTAGAAATGTTCATACATTTTGTTTATTCACAGGATACACATCTATAGCTAGGGAAACTGTCAACCTGGAAAAGTGACATTGAACAGCTGTTTCTCAGTTAGCTTTCCTCTTGGGAGCTTAAAGCTGAAGAGTTTCATGAAGTCTAAATTGCCTCAGTATACAAACACATTTTCCTGTTCCTTTGAACTGTGAAAGTGGAGGCAGTGTTTTTACTCTTTTTTACATCCATAAATAAAGGACTCTTAAGCAGCAACAGAGAGGTTATTTTGCCTCTAAATTTGGCATGGGTACAAATGCTGCTGGAATACTGTGTCTGGTTCTGGTGCCCACAGTACAAGAGGGACCTTGATAAGTTGAAGAGGGTTCAGAGAAGAGCCACAAGAATGTTTAAGTATCAGAGGGGTAGCCGTGTTAGTCTGAGTCTGCAAAAGCGGCGAGGAGTCCTGTGGCACCTTATAGACTAACTGAAGTGTTGGAGCATAAGCTTTTGTGGGCAAAGACTCACTTCGTCAGATGCATCTGACGAAGTGGGTCTTTGCCCACGAAAGCTTATGCTCCAATACTTCAGTTAGTCTATAAGGTGCCATAGGACACCTCGCCGCTTTTGAAGAATGTTTAAGAAATTAGAAAACAGGCCTGATAGACTCAATGCACTTACTCGAATCAGCAGAACAAAGAGAAGGTTAGGTGGTGAGTTGAGTACAGTCTATAACAAGGGTTGGCAATAATTTTTGATGGGGGGCTACTACAAGATTTTGGAAAATGGTCAAGGGCTGCACTCTTCCATGATATTAATGGAGATGTGGGATCTGGAATGGAGGTTGGGTGTAGAAGGGAGGTTGGGATAAGGGATTGGGGTGCCAGAGGGAGACTGGAGTCTGGGAGGGAGTTGGGATGAAGCAGGCGGTTGTGACCTAGGACAGGGGACTGGAGTGCAGGGGTTTGGGATGCGACCTAAAGTAGGAGGGATTGTGATCTGGGGCAGGAGATTGGGGTGCCAGATCTGGGAGCGGGTATGAGTGTAACAGGGGGACAGAGGGTTTGGGTATGTTGAGTGGGGGGGGAGCAGAGAATTGGGGCAGGAAAGGGCGGGGGTGCCAGAAGCAGGCTGTGACCAAGAGACTTACTTGTCAGCTGCCAAACTAGCCTGCCTGCCTGCTGAGCTTAAAATGTTTCCCAGCCAGCCTGCTTGCCAGGCCATGTGCTTCATGAATAACTGAGCCCAGGAGAGGGGGCATGACTCTTCTTAGCTGCCTGTTATTCTAACAAGCAGTTCCCATTGGCTGCTTTCTGCCAGAAACTGACCAATGGGAATGTGCTGTGGGCAAGGCGGCTCCTAAAACTTCCTCCCTACCCTCCAGTTTCAAAACAGAAACAGAGCCCTGCAGCCATGTTTCTGCCCGGCACGCAGGGCTGCAGGGTTCCCCACTGCCTCTGTGAGCTGGATCCAGTGGCTTGGTGGGCTGGATCTGGCCTGCGGGCCATTTTTTGCCCAGGCCTGGTCTATAAATATCTATATATGGAACAAATATAACAGGCTCTCCGATTTAACAGAGAAAGCTATAATGTGGTCTAATGGCTAGAAGAGTTGACACTAGACAACTTCAGCCTGTACATAAGTCACATTTTTAACAATTAGAGCCATTAACCATTGGGACAATTACCAAGGGTTGTGGTAGATTCTACATCACTTTCTTTCCCCTAAAAGATCTGCGTTAGGAATCATTCTATGGCCTGAATAATACAGAAGACTAGACTCAATCACAACGGTTCTTTCAGGCCCAGGAATATGTGAATCTGTGCTCCAACTTGAGGTAATTTTCCTGCTTCCCTCCTCTAACTATTCATGCGCTTTACATCCTTGCCTTTACTGAGACTCTCTTGCAAAATGGGAGGTCCTCCAGTCTGGGGTGATTCCTCAGGGGGTGGAATTACCAGCACGATTCCTACTCTACCCTCTCTGAGACCACCCAGTTGCCACGTTTATGGTGGGAGGAAGGGAGTGAGTGTGTGGCTGCTACACCTGTCCAATATTTGGTTGCCTGAGCAGTCCTTTGGAGGTACTAGGCAACTCAGCACTAAATCTGCATTAGTTGTAAGTTGGAACTAGGCTGGAATCTGGCATTGCATATCTGGTTATGAGGATCTGGCCCATTGTGTATATTCATTCCTCAACTCCTTTAAAAGGAGTCTGTCAATGGGCGATGAAGATTCCCCAGTGCTTGCATAATTACTAGCGAAAACATATCACATGCTCATCCAGCTATTTCTCCACACTGACTCATGAGATGGGTGCACCTTTAACAGAGTTGAAGTTCAAATACCCACCCAATCTATCCAGGCTTGCTGAATGTACAACACTTGGTTGAATATTTTGTGAGAACAACCTTTTTCATGGTGTATTATTAGTACTTGAAGTTTCTCATGAAGCTGCACATTTCAGACTATATGAAAGACTTGGTGCCTGCTCAATTCTATTAATGAGCCCAGGCTTGAGATTGGAGGGAAAAGTTTCTTATCTACGCTTAAAATAAGTTTACCCATTCCCAATGATAACGTAAAATGCTAGCCTCCTATCTTGCTTTCTCTCCTCTCCTTCCTTCCCCATTCACCAGCTCCCTTCATTTCCCAGAATAGTGCTACATCTCCAGCTATGATAGACACACAAAATGGTTCATCATTTTATCCCAAGCACATTAGCTGACAGCCAAAATTTAAACAAGAGGCTTCTATTGTGATGCAAATCACCATGGCTGTGTGCTGAGAAATCTAGAAATCTTACAAAAATCTCTTTATTCTCAGCTATCAGAATTTTGTTCCTTGCTGCTCTAATTAAAAAACACTTTTCCTGCCCACATCAGATAACCATGCTGCTTAAGCCCGATTTATCTTTTTCAGCATCAGTTGCTAGTGGTTTTGATGCTGAGAGAAAATATCCACTAAGAAAGCAAGGAATACTTCAGGTTGCAAAGCTTCTTTATTTAGTAATAGCCATCTGAATTGATAGCACTTAATGTTCGAGAGGGTTATTTATTTTTCCGATGAAGAGTGTGCTGTTGGTAGTTTTTTCAAAAATCAGCATTAGGAAAGGACAGTTGTATTCAATGGTTTGAGGCATAGACATCGGCATTATTTCAATGGCAGTAGCTGCCGCTGCCTCTGTGCCTCTTTCGTCAACGTTCAGCACGGCCTTATGCACAACCTGTGGGAGATAAAGCACACTCTGTGATTCTGAACAGAGAACAGTAACTTACAAGTAAAGGTGAATCTGATGGCTTTCAGAGCTGTTTAGAAAGTCTATTGGGGAGGAGCAGGCAGCTGGACAGGACTGAATGGAAACTGCAGAAAGAGGAAGTTTTCCTATTCTTCTAATTACCACATCTCTGAGAATCTAGTGAGGCTGACAGACTCACCACACCCCTGGGCAAGGCAGGGGGGATGGCTCTATGCCCCCCAGAAGGAGCAGGGCCTCAGGCAGAAGGATGGGCCTGGGGGCATTGTAGCTGCTTTCCTTGGGACTCCTATTTGTCTGCATCTTTTTTAGACTGTGGTGCCCCAAACTGGACATGATGGATGTGTATGACCCTCCACTCATGAAAAAGATTTTGTTTCAGTCTACAAAAAATAGCCTCACTCCCAGATCTCCAAGATCTCTGGAAGAGATGGAGAACTGGCTTGTGAGGGATTGGGGCTGAAATTCACCTGTGTGCAGAGGACCAGCACAAGGCTCCTGCAAGACTTAATTACTTCTTATGCCCTCTAAGACTAATAAATATAGGAGAAGCCTCTGAATTGCTTTTATTACTCTCTTTATGCCTGGGGGAAAGGAAACAACTGAAGGGATTTGGGCAAATATATCTAAGTAGCCACTATAAATGACATCCAGTTATAACGCCAGAAATCAGTCCAGAAACATAGATACTTATCTGAAACATATCTCTGAACCCTGTCTTCTTTTCTTCCTTCTCTGCCCCGCTCTTTCATGATATCTCTACATTGATTTGCCTTCTTGTGGGGAGGTGGGAGAAGGCATGGAATGCCCTTCCGTTTCTTACCCCCAACATGTACTTCCTCCAGACTCAGTGGGGTGACCAGCCTGCACTCCACTCCTGCTTTCCTGAAGCAGGAGGCTGGACAGTATCTTCCAAATATCTTTGGCAGCTTCTGTTGAGAATCAGGCTGCCAGTTCACCCTCTCATTTTGCTGGAGAGGAACTCACATATGTCCTGGAGCAGAGGTGTCTTAAGACTGGTTCAAAAAGGGTTACAGGACTGTTGAAGAAAAGACACCTTATCCTATGTCTGCACAACGACAGAAAGTCAACCTAAGGTATGCAAATCCAGCTATGTGAATTATGTAACTGGAGTCAATGTACTGTAGGTTGAGTTACACCATGATTGCAGGGTTTACACCTGAGGGGGACAATAGGAGAAACTCTCACATCGACTTCCCTTGCTCTTCTTGTCCGGGGTAGAGTAACAGGGTCGACTGGAGAGTGATCTGAGATCCATTTGGCAGGTCTTCACTAGACCCGTTAAATCAACTGCTAATGGATCAGTCTCAGAGCATCAATCCCCACTGTAGAGTAGATGTAGCTTTTCAGAGCAAAGGGATAATCTGAAATCCAGGTTGACATCAGGCCAAATTCATCCGTTGTGTAAACCTCCTGACCTAACAAAGTTAAGCCCAGGAATTAAACTGTCCCATTGTGACTGGTGATCTGACATAGTGACACTGTGCTATGCAAGGTACATTTTAATGTGTCTTTTTTAAAAGGAAAAGAGAACCCCTGAATTTGCACACTTACTCTTGACACCTTCAGCTCACGCTCTCCTGTTATGCCAGATAGATCGGCTTGGTCAGTGAACACATCAGTAATGCCCATGTTGATGAGATGGTTCTTTAAGTCATAGGTAGCAGAGATTGAAAATTTTGGGATGTACAGGTTTACTGAGCTGTTAGAAGAAGAAACACAAGATTCTTGATTTAGGCTTGATTTAGGTTGGTGGGGACTCTATCAATGAGGGTGCTAACAACTGTCTGAGTGGTATCCTTCCTGTTTTAGCAATCTATCTATTGACTTTGATCTTTATCTGCTTAAGTTTAGCACCCATTCTCCAGATACTTAAAGAAAAAACAGGAAGGAGGGTGGGAGACAGAGCATTATTCTCTTCCCCTCCCCCCTGCCTTTCCCATCTCCTATTTATTTCGAGTTTTCAGATCCCCTACTCATAACTCTGGTCATCTGAAGAAGTGGGCTGTGCCCATGCAAGCTCATGATACCATTTACATGTTTTGTTAGTCTAAAATACTTCAGTTAGGTCAGAGTACAGTGTACAAGTTATTTAGCTTCTGTGATGTACAGAAAAACCTCGGGGAGTAGGCATGTTCCTTTGTGTACATACTAACTGTCCCTCTGATTTCCAATGCTTTCAAATGGCAATGCAGATAATGGGCCTAACTCATCTCTCATGTAATGCACCTGACTTTGGTGATATTGGGCCAAGCCTAGAACTGGTCTATTAGTTCACATGGTCTTTCACGTTTTTTTGCTCTTCACTGGACTTAAATCAACGATTAATTTAGCTCCAGAGTTTGCAGCTGAGAATTATATTAACTATTTTTAAGAGTCTCATTACCAGCTGCTATCCAATTTATTGCCCAATATCTCTAAATCCTTTGTGATGCTTTATATTTCAGTGTCCTCAATGACTCTGCAGCACATCCCCATTTAGTATCATCTAGCAAAACAGCACCAGAAAACCAATCTGGTTTGTAAATCTGCTGGTTAAATATGACCAAGATTAACACAGATCTCTGCCTCAGTGGACTCCTGGCTCAACATGACTTTGAACCTGATCCAAAGCCCTCTGTCATATATTGGGAGATCCCAATTAATTTCAGTGGGCTTAGATCAGGTCCATTTTGCTTTTCAGCTGCACATTTGATTACACTGCTTTAACCCATGCCCATATCCAAACTGATGCAAGCTAATTTATCTAGTAAGATTTTGTTAGATGCTGCACCAAATGCTTTACAAAACTGCAGTTATTTTAGTTAACAAAACTCTTTGTTAAATGAGAATTAAAGGCTGCTGTAGAGAAAGTCATGATTTGATTTATACAGCTTCTGTAATGGTGCTAGAATTTCTTTTCTCCCCAACAAATTGCAGCAGCGGAACACTGTAACTGATGTTGAGACCAGTTGTGGGAGCTAGCAGAACTTCATCAGACAACTATAGTTTGAAAAATAAAACCCTAGAAAATCAGGAAATCCGCTAATTACCATAACTCTGATCATGTAATTGAATGATCCTCGTAAATGTCTATGACAAGCACTTGTAGTATTCTTCAGATTTAAAAAATGAATAAGTAATACATTTTGAGTGTGCCATCACCCCTTGTCTTCTAGGGCTATGTTTAGACTGCAGGCTTCTTTCAGAAGAAGCTTTTCTGGAAGAGATCTTCCGGCAAAAACTTTTGAAAGAGAGAATCCACACAGCAAAAGCGCATCGAAAAAGAGATCTGCTTTTTCAAAAGATAGTGTCCACATTGATTGGGTGCTATCTCACATTTAATTTGTGATTACTATTGACAGTGGCCACCAGGGCACCTGTGCTTTTTCCTGGAATCCTCTTCTTTTGAAATAAAACCCTTTTCCCTGTTCACACACGTCTTTTTCCGAAAGAGCTCTTTTGGAAAAAGGCTTCTTTCTCATAGAAATAAGTTTAGCACTGTCAGAAAAACCCTTGCGTTCTTTTGACTTTCTGTCGAAATAATGTAATTGCAGTGTGGATGTGAGTGTAGTTTTTCTGGAAAAACACGTTTTTCTGGAAAAATTCTGCTGTGTAGACATACACTAGGTTAAAGAGTTTGTCATAGTTTTCTTGTTTCAGAGAATGAAATTCTTGGAGGCTACGTCTACACTGGCCCCTTTTCCGAAAGGGGCATACTAATTTTCAACTTCAGAATAGAGAAATCCGCGGGGGATTTAAATATCCCCCGCGGCATTTAAATAAAGATGTCCGCCGCTTTTTTCCGGCTTGGGGAAAAGCCAGAAAAAAGCGTCTAGACTGGCCCGATCCTCCGGAATAAAGCCCTATTCAGGAGGATCTCTTATTCCTCCTTTGAAGTAGGAATAAGAGATCCTCCTGATAGGGCTTTATTCCGAAGGATCGGGCCAGTCTAGACGCTTTTTTCCGGCTTTTCCCCAAGCCGGAAAAAAGCGGCGGACATCTTTATTTAAATCCCGCGGGGGATATTTAAATCCCCCGCGGATTTCCCTATTCTGAAGTTGAAAATTAGCATGCCCCTTTCGGAAAAGGGGCCAGTGTAGACGTAGCCGGAGTGTTTAATCATGTGCTTAAATTCCCTGGTAGTTGTGATTCTGGCCTATGAAAAGTGTTAATACTGCTGGCAATTTGTCAAGATATTTCAAAATGCTTTCCTATCTTGAAAAGTGACTGAAGAACTCGTGTCTGCGTCTTCAACCAAATTGAGCACATGAATGATTCAAACACACTTTTACTACTTTTTATGCCTGACTTGCCCTGCAGCTCTGGGTGAGATAGCTGGATTCTTTTCCAAACCATGTATCACTGGAAGAATAATTAAATATATTCCAATTACAGGATCTTTATAGATAGGGATGCCTGAGCCAAAAAAAGAATCCAGCTTGACTCTGAAAGCTCAGGGTGAGTTTGCAGGATTGGCAATGAAAAAAAAAAAAAGATTCAACTGAGCAGGTTTGATTTAAAGTCACTGAGGGATGACAAACATGGAATCCCCAGGTGCTATTTTCAGTGTTTAACTTTTCAAAGTAAAACAGCATGCCTGATGTGCCATTCCCACATATTTGAATGGATGACTCCATAATATTTTGAAATGCCACGTGATTACCGAAAGATTACCTTCGCCAGACTGAGCGTGACCATTTGGACACAGTTTCTTTCTGCAGAATATCTTCTACCTGCTTCATTTTTCCTTTTTCAGGCATAATAAAAAATGCTGTAGCACTTCCATTGTAATGAAGTTGGACCACTGTGCAAGATAGTTCTGCATCAAAATGGAAGTCAAACATGCCCATTCTGTGCATCATAGGAACTTTAACAGTTGTTTTCTCATCTACAAAGAAGTCTCTTTCTGTAGTGTGCTCTGGCTGAAAAGGTTTCTCCCACTTGCCTAACAGAAAGAAAGAGAATGCAGTTGAATATTTTGGAAAAGAGGAATTACACTTGTAGTGCTGGTGAACCATGTCAGGTTATGTGTTTCTGCATTCAAAAGCTCATTTTTATGTATAATGGATTATTTGTTTTGCAACATGCCTTTATTTTTAGGCTACAGAAATATCTAACCAGTGTGGAGCACCCCAGAAACATTAAGAATTACAATAAGCTTTACAATGCCTAGGGCCTTATCTAATTCACAGTCAGTCCATTTTGGTCAATTTTATGGTCGTAGGATTTTAAAAGTTGTGATTTTCATGATCACAACTATTTAAATCTGAAATTTCATAGTGTTGTAATTGAAGGGGTCCTGACCCCTAAAGTAGTTGGGTTGCAAAACTATGGTTGAAGGGTTTCAGTGCTGCTACCTGTACTTTTGCAATACTATTGGCAGTGTGCTGCCTTCAGAGCTGGGCAGCTGGAGAGTGATGGCTGCTGGTCATTCAGATGCTACAGACTCACATTCTATTCCGGAGAGCACATGTAGTTTCACTGTAAGGTACGTGCAACTCTATAGATGAAGCCCACTTTACCTGTGTTGTAGTCCGAGGTCCTGATTCAAACCCCATTCATTTCAATGGAAAGACTCCTATTGACTTTAGTGGGTTTTGGATCAGGACCATAGTGGGCATTAAAACTTGCTTTAATCTGCTTATACTGACTAGTTTCATTCTACAATGCCATATTGTGGCAGCATTGATGGTCATACTAATAAGTCATGAAGCACGTCTGAAAAATATTGGTCTGCAGTAGACTGGCTACCTTGGAATCAAGCAACCTGTGGAAAAGATGGTTAAGAAAGATCAGGTAGTTCACTCATCCCTTAATGTTTACAAGCAAAAATGGGGAGAAGCAAGGGGTGTAACATTCACTCTCCACACAAAACTCTAGCTGCGGATGAAAGAAGTACCTGTAAGGGAATGATATAGACCTCCTTTTGCCCCAAAATTCAATGATGATGCAGGTTTGCTGCATGCCTTGGGTGAGAAGGGGGTGTTCCTCTCATAGAGGAGTGATCCTGTATCTGCTTTTTGCCACTAAGTGAACAGGAAGGTGGACATTTGATTTTCCACCCATTTCTTTCTACTTGAACACTTCTTTGAAATCATAATGGACTGATTTGAGAACTATCAGGTGAGGTCAGTGTACAAGATTAACAATCTGGACATTTACCCATAAATGATTACAAAAGAACTAGACGACGTCTAGACTGGCATGATTTTCCGGAAATGCTTTTAACAGAAAACTTTTCCATTAAAAGCATTTTCGGAACAGAGCGTCTAGATTGGCATGGACGCTTTTCTGCAAAAGCACTTTTTGTGGAAAAGTATCCGTGGCCAATCTAGATGTGCTTTTCCACAAAAAAGCCCTGATCGCCATTTTCGTGATTGGGGCTTTTTTGTGGAAAACAAATCTCAGCTGTCTACACTGGCCCTTTTGCGCAAAAGTTTTGTGCAAAAGGGACTTTTGCCCGAACGGGAGCAGCATAGTATTTCCGCAAAAAGCACTGATTTCAGATAGTAGGAAGTCAGTGTTCTTGCGGAAATTCAAGCGGCCAGTGTAGACAGCTGGCAAGTTTTTCCAGAAAAGCGTCTGATTTTCCGGAAAAACTGGCCAGTCTAGACACAGCCCTATAGTTTTATTCTGTTAGGTTCTAAGACCAAATATACTTAGCCATCTGAAGCTTCTATATTAAACAGACATCTGTCTGTAATGTATATGTCTACTTACCTTTAAAGAAGATGTAGCTAACTAAAATCATTGCAGTCTCTGGATCAAGATCCTTGACTAATTCAACAATTTTTCCATGTGTTTTCTTCTCTACATAATCATTGATCTGTTTCTGAGCCTCTGCAGTATTCTTGAAGTTGACAGTAAAAGCTTCTGCTTCATACAGGTTTTTGACATCAGCAAGGAACTTCTCTAGTGGTTTCAGTTTTTCTTTCAGAAATAGGGCATTCCCCATGTCGAGTTGGAGCTCACGGTCAGGATGATTTAGCATGTGGATGAGATGATGGAAACTATCATGTATCTCCTGCTCCTGAAGCTCTGTCAGATTAAAAGCAAGTCCTTCCAGAATTTGAGTCAGGGTGGCTGATTTAGCACTAAGGGCCAGCATTGCAAAGGCAGTAGAGATGCTGATAGGAGAGAGGAAAACATTCTTCTCTGGTGCATCTGAGGCAATCTGCTTGAAGATTCTAAATGCAAAATCAGCATTGCAGGGAGATAGTTTGCTTGCATGATTCTTATGGCTTTCTTCATGATCTGTATCTTTATGGTCACCATGTCCATTGTGGTGGTCAGGCAGGTGATCACAATGGGCAACAGTATGAAGCCCAGCAAGTAACAAACACAGATAGAGGACAGGCTTCATCTTCCAGTGGAACTACTGTGTGTGGAAAAAACAAATGGGTTAGTAAGTATAAATAATTAAACTTAATTATGAAAATTAGTGTCTCATCCCCATGTAATAAGCGATCCTGTGATAATCTTGTCACTGATTTAAGTTTTTGTATGGCCCAATTCTGTTCTTAATGATGAATTTAGCTCGCCACAATTCTCCTGAATGCTCCCTCATCCCCACAACCATCCAGTGTTAATGCTGAAGAAGCAAGGATAGGTCACTGAAGATATTGTGTATTTAATTGAGGCCAAAGGATAGAGCGGGGAAAATATGCAATGGATGAAACTTTACTCGTATGGACACATGCCTGTCTAAAGTATGGCACATCTTGTGACCCAAAATACTACAGTGCTGGAGACTATTTTTGACACTAAGGCTCTAAGGTTTTTCAAAATAGGAGGCCACTGAGTTAGGAGATCCAGACATCTCCTTCATCAAGAAAAGGGGAAGAATTAGGCAGGCAGGAATCACTATCCAAAATGGAATATAAGTTAAGGGGACATGTTTGGACTGGTTCTTATTGCCTATGAACTGATTCCTCCATGATCCCTCCCTGCCTTTAAATACTCTAATTAGTGTTAGGTTTACAAGATGCTGCATTTCCAAAAAAACTCTTACACTCTGTGTAACAGTGAGATAGCTAAGTAGAAACACCACTCTAGAAAGTGTGATGTTACATTCCACAAATAGAAAAATACTGCAGTAGAATAGAGCAAATATTATTACAAAATACTTTCAGTGAATAGTCACTCTACTTTTCAGATGAATATACTTAATTTGTGTTTGCATCTTTTTATTGTCGTTCTGTAAATATTTGATCCTTTTAAATCATGAATGTTTGTGAAAAGTTGACTTCTGTTTGTAAATATTTCAGAAAAGTAGAACATCTGCAAGTGTTCATAGAAATCAAGTTTTAAATTTACACACGTATTATTTTAAATGGATATTCTCGAGTTTTCATCCAGTCAGGACACAAAAACAATACTTCCTGTTTTATTTGACTAGCTTTACAAAGCTTCTAATTTGAATATTGGGAGCAAATGGTTGCCAAACAATATGAATAAAACCATTTGACAAGAAATCAACTCTCATATATCATGAACCTCAGCTTAATTTGCTCACAGATTCACTGCAAGTCTATGCTTTGCATTCATTTGGATAAATTATTAATTGTGAACTGTTTGCTCAGCTCTACTCATAATTTATCTAAGTATTATCAAAATCCATGAATATTTAATTTCACGTCAAAGCCCCCTCCATTCTTTGCTCTCATCTCTTTTAATGCCTAATATACAATATTATTGGAATTGTATATGGGCAGATTTATTAGCCAATTTATATGTACTTGGAATTTGAGATACATATTTAGTTTAACTGTCCTAGCTCAGAAAGTTATTTTAGTAGCTCAGACAGGATGTTTCAATTACAGCTTTACTTTCAATATGAATTCCATTTTTCTGTATTGCTAGTGTTCATATTTCACTACAAAATTATAATAGTTTTTTTTCTCGCTTTGGTTGTTTTTGTGTCTGACTGGTTAATTTTCATAGTTCATCATGTTGCATTGCAATTTTCAATTCATAGTCAGAATCAAATATAATTTGGACCTGGTTCTTTCAGCGTTGTCAGCCTTAGGTATTAAAAAATCACAAGCCAGGCCCTCAAAAATAATGAAATGGGGTGATATAACAATCATGCGAGTTTAAAAACCCCAAACAAACATTTTTGGTTCTTTTTATTTACTTTCTGGGCTTTGACCCTTTATAGTACACAGTGGGATCGGGGGGGGGGGGGCATATTAGTCTGTTTCAGCAAAAACAACAAGGACTCTGTTGGCATTTTAAAGCTTAACAAATGTATTAGGGCGTAAGCTTTCATATGATATTGAGTTGCACCTCACAAAAGCATATGCCCTAATACATTTGTTAGTCTTTAAAGTGCCACCGAACTCCTTTTACTTTTTAAGGGGGGGTCACACTTTCAAGGTTTCCTTTGCAATCATGAGAGCTAGAGATTTACTTAAGAAAGATTTACTTAAAAATCTCAGATTCCCCCTGTAGGGCCAGAAGGGTCCTAGAAAGATCAATAAACCTCTTCTCTGAGGCAGAACCAAATAATTCTAGACCACCCATCCCTGACAGGTGTTTCATAGAATCATAGAATACTAGGACTGGAAAGGACCTCCAGAGATCATTGAGTCCAGTCTCCTGCCCTCATGGCAGGACAAAATACTGTCTAGACCATCCTGATAGACATTTATCTAATCTACTTTTAAATATCTCCAGAGATGGAGATTCTACAACCTCCCTGGGCAATTTATTCCAGTGTTTGACTAACCTGACAGTTAGGAACTTTTTCCTAATGTCCAACCTAAACCTCCCTTACTGCAGTTTAAGCCCATTACTTCTTGTTCTATCCTCAGAGGCCAAGATGAACAAGTTTTCTCCCTCCTCCTTATGAAACCCTTTTAGATATCTGAAAACTGCTATCATTTCCCTCCTCGATCTTCTCTTTTCTAAACTAAACAAACCCAATTCTTTTAGCCTTCCTTCATAGGTCATGTTCTCTAGACCTCTAATAATTCTTGTTGCTTTTCTCTGGACCCTCTTCCATTTCTCTACATCTTTCTTGAAATGCGGTGCCCAGAACTGGACACAATACTCCAATTGAGGCCTAACCAGCGCATAGTAGAGCAGAAGAATGACTTCTCGTGTCTTGCTCACAACACACCTGTTAATGCATCCCACAATCATGTTTGCTTTTTTTGCAACAGCATCACACTGCTGACTCATATTCAGCTTGTGGTCCACTATAACCCCTACGTCCCTTTCTGCCATACTCCTTGCTAGACAGTCGCTTCTCATTCTGTATGTGTGAACAGTTTTGTCCAAACTGTTCTTAAAAACTGCAATGATGGGGATTCCACAACCTTCCTGGAAGCTTATTCCTTAGAGTTAAAAAAAAGGGTTTCCTAATATCTAAGTTAACCTCCCTTAACCCTAAGCTCGTACCCTCATCTAACTCCTGGAGCCTGGACTTTAAGAAACATACCAAATATTATAAAACTTGCAATAAAATCGTGAGTGATACCCCAAGACACGGTGTTACTTTCTGTCCTTATTAAAATCAATGGCAGTTTTCCCCTGACTCCAGTGCAGTCAGGATTTCATTCATAAAGTAGCACAGCCTAAATGGGATATTTTTGTGTTAAGTCTCTATTAAATTAATGTCGCCATATAACTACTTACCCACACATTGTTAAATTAGTCAATTAGTGCTTTTGCAGTGCTCTGATCAGCTAAAGAATTCACTGCATTTTAAATATCACCATGATTATTGCTCCCTGGAATGGTTACTCAAGACAGATTTCACTGTACCAAACAGAACAAAAGGCACCACCATGTGAATCAAATGGCATAAAATAAATTGCATATAACACTGGTAATACACATTTGAAGTCCAGTGGTAAAATGATTACTTACAACAGATTCCAAGGATACTGTGTGTTTGCCAGGATTGTGCTGTATTTTGCTTTGCTATTTATACTGCTGAAAAGCATTATTAAAGCAAAATGTCATCTAGTAATGATTAACCAAGTCAACCAAGGGTTAGTGCTTTAATGATTGCACTGAGCAAACAGTGATGATGTTAGTTTTAGAGAGTTATCTAATTTTGCTGTGTTTGCATGCTCTGTGGGTTTGTGCACCTTGGTCATAGGAATCCACCTTATTTCTGGGGATGCCACAGTGACAACAAATGATAAAGCTCCACTCTTGCAACTACTTTTATATGCATGAATAACTTTATTCATTTCAATAATCCCATTGGTTTCAAGCAAGTAAAACTACATGTGTATAGTATTGGTTGGGGCCTAATGGCAAACCTCAAGTAGTTAAATCCTGAAGGCAGCTCTCTTCTTAATAGTGTAAATTGAGATTGGTTCCATCCCAGAAAACTTGTAGTTTTTACCCTATGCATGAACTACAAATAAAATTAACCACTTATTACTAATTATCTACATTTTCATTGACACCGGAAGTAGCTGAGAATTTCTTCCTCAAAATAAATAAAAATATTTCCTTTAGGATTGTAGTGATTTTAGGCTGTTATAGTGGCTAGCAAATTCCACTGTGCTTGCTATAGTGAATAAAAATGATTAGCACATTGGCTGGCAAATATAATGGTCAGCTATGTTCTAGTTCTTTTATAATCTCACTTAAGAATCAAGAACAGAATCAGGCTTGATGGGGCAAAATCCAGAATGCCAGCAGTCTTATGAAATGATTTTAACTTACAAAATGATCACAGTTTAATTAAAACAATAGGCCTGCTGGTTTATTTTTGTGATCTCCTTTTTAGTGCCAACACCATCTTTTCCATTCAGGACTGGCAGAGCACTGTCTGCTTATGATGGAGTCCAGTTCTCGAGTTATTTGCAGGCTGGTTACTGATAAGGATGAGAAAACCAAGTTAATCACAAATGTTGTGTGTTGTTTGCCTTTCAGTAGTCAGCATTTACCTGTCATTACTTCACAGTGGAGTCATTGGCTCCTGGACACGGTGCTACCATTTTGAGTTAATGGTGTCTTACATTCACCTTATATACATGCTGATGACTGCACAAGGTGTTAAGGAGAGACTCATGCCCTGTGTTAGCACATATTCCCATATTCATACAGGAGGTATTTCCAATGTATATGGATCTCCTCCCGCCAACATGACCGACTATTGTTTCTTCACACTTGTTCCATCTTTGCTCCCACTCCAGGCTCCACGTTGTCTCTTTCTTGGTCTGGGGAGCTACCTGTGGGGAAAGTAGCAAAGGCTAAACAGGATGAGGAGCAGAGTAAGTAGTCTTGCTGGTCCTCTCTGGCCCAAATGTGCCAACTGGGTGGCTGAATTCTTTTACTCCCTGACTGAGAGCTACTTGGAGAGTCAGGAGTCAGCAGCAGGCCCTCTGTTGTGGAAGAGAAGATTGTAAGTTTAAGGCTTCACTCCAACAAAACCCTGAACCATGTGTCTAGCTTTGAGCTGAGGTACAGTCAGATTGGAGCCAGCGGAGAAAATGAGCATGTGTTTAAAGCTAAACATGTGCTCAAATGCTTTTCTGGATTGGGGCCTTAAGGAGCAATGTCAGAGTGTGGGGAGGACTCAGAAGACTAGGAAACCCGAATAAAGGGATATCTTTATAGTAGGACTGCAGTTTCTGTGGAGGAAAGTGCATCCTAAAATAAACAGTGAAAAGTTGCCAGCACCAGATGTTATTCATCCAAGAGTTACTATGATATGTAGCTAACCACTTGCCCACATTCTGTTCCATATGAATGAAGGATAGCTAATATAAGGTCAATTGTCTTTTCAAAGAGGCTCCAGAGACAATCCTGGCAATTGCAAGTGGATGAGCCTAACTTCTTTTGTAAGAGGCTATCTTGTCTCACCAATCGTGTAGAATTGCTTGAGGAGGTCAACAAACATGTGATCAAGGGGGATCCAGTGCACTTGGACTTTCAGCAAGCCTTTGCCACATCAAAGGCTTTCAAACAAAGGTACTCTCATGGATCATCTGCCGGTTAAAAGGCAAGAAATAAAGGTAAGAATAAATAGTTTGTTTTCAGAATGGTGAGAGGTAAATAGCAAGGTCCGCCAAGGATCTATACTGGGACCTGTGCTGGTCAAGTTAGTCATAAATGATCTAGACAGAGGGGTAAAATAATGAGGTGGCAAAGTTGCCATGACATAAATCAATAGGTCATTCCTCTCCTCCAATACTGTGTGCAGTTCTGGTAACCACAAAAGATATATTAGAATTGGAAAAGCTAGAGAGAAGGGCAAGAAATGTTACTAAAGGTTTGGAAAAGCTTCCATATTGAGGAAAGAGACAAAAAGAGTAGGACTGTTCATTTTGGAAAAGAGATAACTAAGGGGGATATGATAGAGGTCTATAAAATCATAGATAGTGTGGAGAAAGTGAATGAGCAATATTGTTTACACCTTTACATAACACAGGAACCCATGGTCACTCAATGAAATTAATAGACAACAGGTTGAAAACAAAAATAATTACTTCTTCATGCAATGCAAAGTCAATTTTTGGAATTTGTTGCAAAAGGGATGTTGTAAAGGCCAAAAACATAAAACTGGGTTCGCAAAAGAGTTAGATAAGTTCATGGAGGCTGGGTTCAGGAATGTCTATTGGCCAGCATGGCTAAGCCTCTGCCAAGTGCCAGGACTAGAGAACACGAGGTATCTCTCAATAATTGCCTTGATCTATTCATCCCATCTGAATCATTAGCATTGTCAGAGTCTGGAATCAAGCCGAGGGTCAGAGCCAGAGTCAATGGATGGGATGGGGCACAGATCAGAGAGAAGGTTAAAAGGCAGGATCCAATATAGCAGTGTACGAGTGTATCACCCTGAGCCTTTATTTATACACCATAACCGTCACCCGTCCCACGAGTCCCAAAGTCCAACCCGTGTTGTGTCTAGCTAATCTTAGCTTTTAAACCTTGTCTTGGGATAGTTCACACCTGGATGAGACATGTCCCATTAACATCACCTCGTAGCAGTAGGGAGAGGGGGGTCTGGGCCCGCCCTCACTCACAGACCCCAGCCCAGAGCCCTAAGGACTTGGACCTAGTGCGGTCCGGTCCGGCTGGCAGGGCTTCCCGCTGAAACACGCCAGCCTGCGGGCTACCTGCGAACACCCTGCCCTGAGCTGCTTCCTCTCGCTTTACCTGACTCTCTTAACTTCCCCACCACCTCCATCCCTCCACCCCCTTAGGTTCCCCGTCTCCCTTTCCAAATTACCCGTGTCCTGGCTCGGCGTCCTGCCCCTCCCCAGTGGGTACCTCCCTCTTTCATACTCTCCAGGCCATGTCCCATTTTCCCCACGTCATGCTCTCTCCGCCCTCTTACACTCCTTCTCCGGACACCACCCCCAAACAGCTGTTTGGCGGCCCTCTTGTACGCCATGCCTGTGCTCACCCTGACTTGCCACCCTTGTCCCCGTCCCTAGCCGACGCGGGGGGTTTTTAAGGTATGGGGCCGTAGTGCCCATCATACATGCGTGCCGCCCTGCACAGCTGGTTGGCGGTGCGAGAGCACGCTGCACACGCACTCGCCCCTGCTTGCCGCACCCTGTACAGGACCTGAGCGGCGCGGGGGAGGGGAGGTTGGAGTGCGGGGTAGTAGCGCCCCATCACAAGCAGCTAGCCAGAGATTCACCTAATTGATTGGACAACTTACTGTGCCTCCTTTGGCTTAAATAGGAAGTCCAAGCCAATCACAGGGGATAGACATCTTCTCCAATTAGGAGAATCATGGGTGGTATCTATGGCAGTTAGGGTCCACCAGCTTACAGTCTCTGCAAGTACCTGTGGTGGTACCTTGGTGGTGATTGTGGCCTAGGGCTTGTCTAGGTCCTCAATCTGAGACCCACAATCCCTCACAACTGGATGCCAAAATGCCCATTCCCATAACTGAATGAATGCGGATGGAATTTCCCTTCCCTCCCTTAGTGTATTTTGATCTCTCTACTTTTATCTCTGCATAGGCCTTTTATACATTTGACTGATTGAGGTAAGAAGGACATTTTAATAATCATTTTAATCCAGATTGCTATAATATTTTGAATTATTTACCAGCAGGTTTAAAGTATACATTTACATAGTGGGAGTGTTTATTTATAAAAACACATCATGATTTTTCATGGAAATGATAATACAGGACAGTGAGTGGAAATGTAGGAAAAAAGAAAAGCAATCTTTCAAGTTATAGAGCCTCAAAGGGAACACATACATACATAGTGACATTTACCCATCAAGAGAGACATAAGTATACAGCAAAAGAATAAATTCAGAGAAAACACCATAAATTAAATGCATGAGATATGAGAGGAAAATTCCATCAAACTTCACACAACCCTATTCAAGGACTTTTCATCATCTTAACTCAAATAGCCCCTTCTACATGTTGCCACTTGAGCACAATAGAAAAAGACTATTTCATATGCATCTTTATTTATATCCTATTCTTTTATGTACAAAGCAGTGAAAACCACTTTAAAACTCCAGATGTCTCATAAGGTTTTCAATTCAACATCTTGTAATCGAACATTTGGCACATTAACATAAAAACATAAGCACAGCCGTACTGAGTCAGACAACTGATCTATCTAGCCCAGTATGCTGTCATCCAATAGTGGCCAATTGTTAGCCGACGGTTAGGGCTTCCTATAGTTGTTCCTTAAGACCAGCTGAAGTTTTTTTAAATTGTGCCTGGTTTTGTTACAGCAACTGAAGGAGTTAGGTTAAAACTTAAACAGTTACAGGCTTATTGAGGAAGCTTATAAATTATATGGTTGCAATGGCTATTGTTTTATTTTTTAACTGCTAGCAAAATATAGATTTTAAAAATGGTTACAAAGAAGATAAAGATAGAAAAATAGAAATAATGGTACCAAGTAACAGCTTACTTTTTCTATGTGTATACTTAAGACAGAGGACCACATCCAGGTACAATTTTTACCCCCTTTTGTGCCTTTTGACTTT